GAGTGAGGACCGTGATGGTTTATTTTTAATTTCTGGGCCGACGCCATGAAAATCCAGCTACTGTAACAGCTCGGCTCACTTTGCAGTGTTACTATCGTTGAGCAGAGAAGGCAGGCGAGTGCAGTTAGAGCTGACAGATGTAAGAATAAAAATAGCTTCAGGTCAAATTCAGTGTTGTACAATAAAAATGTAAGAATGCATTAAAAGTAAAGCAAAGAATCAAAACAAGGTTTCAGACAAACTGCCCCAAAACACAAACATTGTTGAAATGCAGCTCACTCAGCAACCGTATATGTTTTATCATGTTTAGCTCTGAATAAAGGCTTTTTTCCTTTTTCCTAATAGAAAGAGAGACCCTATCTCGCTACTACAGGCTCAGAGGCAGGTCACACCCCGGGCAGGTGACCAATCTGAAGCAGGGCTTTGAGTAAAACATACAAAACTTTATTTAAACCTACCAACTAATGCCTTTCATTTAGGCTTTTGGAAATAGCACATCATTTTCTACTTAGTTTAGCACTGATTTACAGTCCTAATTATCCTCTTCATGAAAGGCAGTATTCACTCTTCTTTTATCTCTTGTTTGGCCTCCACCAGCTGAATATACAACTGTGTCCTCACAGGAACGGTTCTTGCAAAACTCAAACACGGATCGTAAAAAAAACACTGCACAGAGGGGTAGAAAACTAAAAATATCTCAACAAGCAATGCATTTGTCTTTAGAAATCAACTTTTAATTTATTATTATAACAAGTCCAACATTCCTCAGCTGCTCAACCTGATGACATTTAATATCCAACACTTCCTGGTAGCAGAAAATAATAAAATCATTACAGTTTTACAGGCTTTGCTGATTACAGTTTAACAACTCTTGCAGAGTCCATAAGTATTTGGACTATTTGACCAGGTTTTTCTCCATGTGCAACCACAGTTGATCTGAAATCTGTTGAAACTGCTACATATTTATCATCCTCGTGGCCTTTTTTCAATTACAGGCAACTCATGAACACAACTGTCATGTGACATCAAAGCCCACCGTCTTCACAGTTTTGAGTCACCTCGACTGGTCACTGCAGTCTTTATCAATTTAATTCTGCAGAGAGACAAGCTGGGATTCCTGAGTCACATGACCTGAATTCCTCCCTGCCATGAAGCATTCCCATTTGTCATTATGGAAAAGAAAGGAGAACATGCAGACAGTAAATCTGTACTCTAACATCAACGACCACCTGTCACAACGTCCACACACACTCACAGCATCTAAGCCATCCTCACTGATGGTGCGGCATCCAGTACTTCAATCTAATAAGACAGAATATCCTAAAACCCAAGTCCAAGGCCTGAGTCTAAATTTAAAGTGGGACCCATATCTGCCCCAAGGCTTGGGCAGGTCCAGCTGTTGCACACATGAGTATTTATAGGCCCCAACAAAGCACGTGCCTCCATTCCAAAGTGATAAAAAGAAACTGTAAAATCGAATCAGTGGTCCGCACCAATGTTCACTTTATGGTTACAGTACACCTTTAGTCCGAATGATGTTTGCTCCCAGCACGGTCTAATAAAATTTAATAGGCGTAATGTTGTAGCCTGTGCCAGATACACTCATTATGTTATGGTTACACACAGAGTTCGAGTTTGAGAAAATGACTGAAAACTTATTGAATAAATGAGTCATTTATCTGCCAGTGGTTGGTCTGCTTGGGCAGATACGAGCCCTCAATCGCACAAAAGATGGTCGAAAGTCAACTACCTGTATCCTGTGCAGAGATGGGCAGTAATGCGTTACTGTAATCTGATTACCTTTTTCAAGTAACGAGTAAAGTAAGGGATTACTATT